TTGGAGGTTCCCTGCCCTGCAGTTGGCCTGGCCCGTCAGTCACACTAAAGACGAGTGGTCAAGTGGTCCTTAGAGTCCAGTGGGGCGACTGATGGACATGGACCCCTTCTTGGACGAGGTGTTTTCTATTGTCTCACTGAACCCACAGCGTGACATGTGCAGGAGGAAGCAGAGGCCAGCAGGGATCTGGAAGGGAGTGTGTACTCGGGGCCCTTAGCGGTTCTCTCTCAGGATGATTAATAAACCAGTGCTTAGGATGGAGGAAAAGAGCTTCGGGGACGTCAGTCAGGTCTGGCCACCAGACAGGCAATGGCAGCACAGGACTCACACTTGGGGCTGGCTTTGTACTGGGCAAACGGCTGTGTGGCCAGGCCCCCTTCCCCCAGCCCCAGATGTGAGCTGGGCATAGCGAATGCTGCATGCCACTCGGTTGATGAGCATGAAGTGGCCTCAGCACTCAGAGGGTGACGCCAGAGGCTGACAGTGACAGCTCACACAGGTCTGACTTGTGGGCTCACTACGTTGCTCTGAGGCTGTGGTGAGGTCCATGGCTTTTGACAAGTGATTGGGATGGCTCAGGCCGGAAGCTGTACATCCTATGTCCAGCCTGTCCACCCAACTGAAGGCCTTTCCTGGGAGTGACTCGGGGCCACTCCCAAAGGCAGAGGCAAGGCTGCTGCTGTCCTGTCTCCTGCAGTCTCTGCAGCCTCTTTCCTTTTGAATTGGTTACAAAGAGCGGTCTGCTCCCCTGGATGCTGGCCTGTGACAGTCTCTTTAGGGACAGAGGGCAGGCTGCTTTCAGTGGGATTCGAGTCCCCTGCTTCGGCAGAACTGAGGACTTCCTTGATCAGGTACTCAGAGTGCAAAGGTGCAAAAGAGAACATGCAGGAGTCCCATCAGTGCCAGCAGGAGTGGCCACTTTTATGTTGAGGATGAGCGAAAAAATACTGATGAAACGTATTTTGGTGGCCTTTTGTGGGCAACATGAAAATGACATCTTTCTGATTTCTGAATCAGAGTTACCAGTGGCACCGAGCCCTCGTGGAAAGTGAAAGTGAGCTCTGCCCCATGAGCTATCCGGACAGAGTTCTGCTCCCCGCTGTTCCTGCAGGTGGTGTAAGCAGATTCCTGCATCAGTACAGAACTCTTTCCCTCTCAGTTTTATTTTTCAGTGCTGTTTTTCTGGATAGCGATTTTGCAAGGCGCGGGCTGTTTGGTGAAGTGCTGAAATCTTGGCTGTAGGAAACCTCAGCACAACCAACCACGCCTACTTCAACCCAGACAGCAACACCCGCGAGGGTCACCCTTTGCCACTGAGCACGTTCCTCCTGCTGGCTGTGTGCATGCTCTGCGCCTGGGGACTTTCCTGGGTTTCTCTGCCTTCTGCTTTTCGGGTAATATTGGTTTGACCAATATTAAACCCAGAAGAGCTGCATTAGAGAGATCTAATTTTCATACAGGAGGACAAAAGAGGTTTTATGCAACTCATGGCTCCCCTTTATTTCCAGGGTGCTATCCAGCTACATAAAGCATCTGTCCCCAGCCCCCGACTTTCTGTGGCTCTGCCCCAGGCCTGTGTGAGAGCTGGGTGTGATAACCCCCCGCACTGCTCCGCCTTTGCTTCCCGAGGATTGGGGTGCTGGTGTTTGTCAAGTCTTAGTCTTCCTGTAAGCGCGTCTCATGCATTATTTGGGGCACGCACTAACAATCCTCTGTTCTCTCGCTGAGATTCCAGATCAGCTGAGCACCCTACAGTTTGTTTGCTAAGCCTGGCAATGCTGGCACAACAGCATCCTTCATCCCGAATCTCCCACATCGGCTGCGTTCCCAGCCCTGTGCCACATAGGGAGCAGAGGGCCTCAGACGGCCACCACCACTCCTGCAGCAGTGGCTTGCAATGTTTGCAGGGCTTCCCTAGCTCTGCTGTCAAAGCCGGCATCGGTGATGGCACAGGTGTGAGCTTTGCTTTGTTCAGTGCTTGGTGCAGAGTGGGGGAGCCAGAAATGCCCCCAGCGTGTGCACCTCCCTGAAATGCAGCTCTCACCGCCGACTTAACAAGCAGCCCGAGCTCCTCCTGAGTTACACAGCTCTTGCCCTGTTTCCTTCCTCTTCTCAAAGCTGCTAGTTCTCTTTTCTTATAAAAGCAGTGGGTTTCTCTCCAGATCTCAACAGGAGCCAGCATATGTGCGCCCAGGTTCCGAGACCCAGAAATGGCTTCCTGCCCGGCTGGGGGAGCCACCTCCAGGCCAGCAAGCAGGCGCTCGTCAGCAGCTCATGGGGCCGATAGATGAGGGAGGAACCTGGGAGCTGTGATGCGGTAACCTGAGGTGTGGATGTTTTGAAATTAGTTTGAAAATAGCATTTAGCAAGTTTTCCCACAAAGCACACCAACTCGAGAAGCATGGAGGATAATGATGTATAGATCTAACAGTCAGATAACCACTGTTGGTAGTCTTGGTATATAGTTCTAACATTTTTCTATAAATTAATGCACCATTTGAACAAAAGCAGCATGGGGCACAAAAACCGCAACTTAACTTTTCATTGTGATTTAACAATAGGTTAGGAGCATTTTCCTCAGTGTTACAGTTGTGCATGGATTCTCCTGTCCATCAGTAATCATCGGGGGGACCTTACACAGGGCCTCATGCTATCTAGTCAGATGCTCTACCTTTGGGCCAAACCCTCTGCCCCTTTTTACTTTTGCTTTTTGAGACAGGGTCTTGCTACATTGCCCAGGCTAGTCTGGAATTTGAGGTCCTCTTGCCTCAGCCTCCTAAGGAGCAGGGATTACAGGCATGTGCCACCATGGTTGGCCTGATTGTAAGTCATATACATGTGTGGGGAATCCTGAGGTCCCAGCTACTTTACCTGAATTAATGGAGCAGTTAGGGTTAGCTGGTGTGTGTGCTTGTTTTCTTTGAGTCTGGCTTCAGGGTGCACCAGACAGGCTGTCTGGCTCTAGCGTCAGTTCTGAGACTCAGTTCGTGTCTTGCCTTGGGCGCGCGCTAGCAGCAGTCCCTGGTGTGACACTCAGTGTGGGTTTCACAAGAACGCTGTCAGGGTGCTGGAGTGTTGGGGTGCCAGGCTTTCACAGCACTTGGGGTGCCGGGCTTGCCCTGTAAGACCGGAGCTCTTGGGCTGCAGAGAAGTCGCTCTGGGCCACGCAGTCTGCCCTCTGCAAGCTAACGAGGCGGCTTTCTCTGTGGTCTTGGCTGTTTTCCTTCTGCTCATGCATCCAGTGTGTGTCTGTTCCTAGGGAAGTGTTGGCCCCTGCAGAGAGTCCAGCCCTGAGGTTCCCAGGCAGGTCTGGCCCAGGACATCTGCCCATGGGGACAGGGAAGCCGTACAATCTTCCTTCCTGACATCACTAATGCAGGGGCTGGGACACCACTGGGCTGGGTGCTGGGGCTGAAATGCTTCAGATTCTCATCACTCTGAAAAGTGGTGTTGCCTCCCTCTCAGATGACGGAGGCAGTGCCCCGGGTGATCAGGACCATAGTAGGTCGCCTTCTTGGCCTGGTGGCTGCAGGACATTGGCACAGTCACCGAGCCTCTTGGTGCCTCATTTCTCCCATCTGCAGAGTGGAGGTCAAATGCAGATTTGATCCAGACTCCATCTCTGTCCTTAACAGAACCACCAGGTGTCTCTCCTTACTGCCTTGGCAGCCAGGTGTCCCTGTTCTTGGGGCCCAGGCTTCAGGATGTCTCTTCCAGAGGCCAAGGCACACCGTGGACTGCAGAGCAATGGAGCCCCCAGAGCCGGCACGCCCGGAGCCACTTCCTGATGGAGGAGCACCTGGGACTGTTAGTGGCGGAGGAGACATTTGGTGGCACACTGCTGCCGGTGCTGCCTGGAGCCCTGGTCCAGGAAACCAAGCTCTGCGCCTCCTATGTGAGCCAGGCTTGGGTGCAGATTTGAACCCAAGCCACTCCCTGCAGCCCTCCTTTCCCCAGGAGCTCGGTCACCTCTGGCCCATTGGCCGGCTGGTCATGTGTGGCCTGGCCTCCTCTTCCCGCATGTCCATTTTCTCTCCTTTGCAGCGTGGGCAGGAGGACGGGGCTGAGAGTAAACATCTGGCGGTGCCAGGGAGTCGGATGGTCCCACTGACATTTTAGCAAAGCCTTCTGTCAGCCTCCACGAACACTTTCCGGTTGCCTTTGTCTTGATATTGGCTCTGGGTCCCCAAGCTTCTCATTCTGCCTCTGGGGCCACCCTCAGCGCCCAGGATTGGTTTGAAATTCACCAAGGAAGTGGGGACAGCTGGGAAGGACAGAGAGGAGACTCTCAGGCAGAGAGGAGAGAGAGCAGAAGGGGGGTACGGCTTGGCCAGGTGCACTGACTTGACTTCCCTGGAGAGTTCCAGGATCAGCCACCAGGAGAGCTTCCACAGCCCCGGCTCTGCTCTAAGTGAGGCTGTGCGTGATGCCTGCCTGCAGTGGGAGCCTGTGGTTTGGGGGACAACAGTGCAACAGACCCATCTGCTGGGTCTGCCCTGCACTCTGCCCGTGAAGGTCCAGAGCTGAAGGGCAGGGAAAGCACACGGCCGCTCTCATCGCACAGGGCTTGTTCTGAAGTGACGTGGGATCAGTGGTGGCCAAGGCCTGGGCTTCATCTCTGAATCCGTGTGGTTCATTTGGAAGGAAAATTACGCAGTCAGGCATCCAGAGAAAAGTACACGGACGGTGGAAAATGTAGCACACACTCTACCTGAGAGACAAAGATGTCTCCCGAAGGAAGCTTTTATTCTGGGTTTGCAGTATACTCAATGTGGCAAGGCTTGCAGTGAGTCACTTTCCTCTTCATGACTTTTATGCACTTTCTAGTGAAAAGTTCCTAAGTGTGTGTGCCTGCCCCACGCATCCCAATTTCTTCGAGGATTGAACTGGGCCTTCACCCTGAGCTGTGTCTCCAGCCTTGTTTTGATTTTATTTTGAGACAGGGCGTTGGTTAAGCTGCTGAACTGCCCGAGCTGGGCTGGAACGTGAGATCCTCGTGCTCAGCCTGCGGTGGTGCTGGGTCCCGGGCCTGAGTCCCCCTGAGTGGGTCCCGGGCCTGAGTCCCCCTGAGTGGGTCCCGGGCCTGAGTCCCCCTGTGTGGGTCCCGGGCCTGAGTCCCGCTGTGTGGGTCCCGGGCCTGAGTCCCGCTGTGTGGGTCCCGGGCCTGAGTCCCCCTGAGTGGGTCCCGGGCCTGAGTCCCCCTGTGTGGGTCCCGGGCCTGAGTCCCCCTGAGTGGGTCCCGGGCCTGAGTCCCCCTGAGTGGGTCCCGGGCCTGAGTCCCCGTGTGTGGGTCCCGGGCCTGAGTCCCCCTGAGTGGGTCCCGGGCCTGAGTCCCCCTGAGTGGGTCCCGGGCCTGAGTCCCCCTGTGTGGGTCCCGGGCCTGAGTCCCCCTGAGTGGGTCCCGGGCCTGAGTCCCCGTGTGTGGGTCCCGGGCCTGAGTCCCCCTGAGTGGGTCCCGGGCCTGAGTCCCCCTGTGTGGGTCCCGGGCCTGAGTCCCCCTGTGTGGGTCCCGGGCCTGAGTCCCCCTGTGTGGGTCCCGGGCCTGAGTCCCCGTGTGTGGGTCCCGGGCCTGAGTCCCCCTGAGTGGGTCCCGGGCCTGAGTCCCCCTGAGTGGGTCCCGGGCCTGAGTCCCCGTGTGTGGGTCCCGGGCCTGAGTCCCTCTGTGTGGGTCCCGGGCCTGAGTCCCCCTGTGTGGGTCCCGGGCCTGAGTCCCTCTGTGTGGGTCCCGGGCCTGAGTCCCCCTGTGTGGGTCCGGGGCCTGAGTCCCCCTGTGTGGGTCCCGGGCCTGAGTCCCCCTGTGTGGGTCCCGGGCCTGAGTCCCTCTGTGTGGGTCCCGGGCCTGAGTCCCCCTGTGTGGGTCCGGGGCCTGAGTCCCCCTGTGTGGGTCCCGGGCCTGAGTCCCCCTGTGTGGGTCCCGGGCCTGAGTCCCCCTGTGTGGGTCCCGGGCCTGAGTCCCTCTGTGTGGGTCCCGGGCCTGAGTCCCCCTGTGTGGGTCCGGGGCCTGAGTCCCCCTGTGTGGGTCCCGGGCCTGAGTCCCCCTGTGTGGGTCCCGGGCCTGAGTCCCTCTGTGTGGGTCCCGGGCCTGAGTCCCCCTGAGTGGGTCCCGGGCCTGAGTCCCCCTGTGTGGGTCCCGGGCCTGAGTCCCCCTGAGTAGGTCCCGGGCCTGAGTCCCCGTGTGTGGGTCCCGGGCCTGAGTCCCCCTGAGTGGGTCCCGGGCCTGAGTCCCCCTGTGTGGGTCCGGGGCCTGAGTCCCCCTGTGTGGGTCCCGGGCCTGAGTCCCCCTGTGTGGGTCCGGGGCCTGAGTCCCCGTGTGTGGGTCCCGGGCCTGAGTCCCCGTGTGTGGGTCCCGGGCCTGAGTCCCCCTGTGTGGGTCCGGGGCCTGAGTCCCCCTGTGTGGGTCCCGGGCCTGAGTCCCCCTGAGTGGGTCCCGGGCCTGAGTCCCCGTGTGTGGGTCCCGGGCCTGAGTCCCCCTGTGTGGGTCCCGGGCCTGAGTCCCCCTGTGTGGGTCCCGGGCCTGAGTCCCCCTGTGTGGGTCCCGGGCCTGAGTCCCCCTGAGTGGGTCCCGGGCCTGAGTCCCCCTGAGTGGGTCCCGGGCCTGAGTCCCCCTGTGTGGGTCCCGGGCCTGAGTCCCCCTGAGTGGGTCCCGGGCCTGAGTCCCCGTGTGGCTGCACTCACTCAGTTTACCAGAGGTGCCCCACAGCGGCAGCCACCCCCTGCCTGGTGGGGAGGACGGGCTGGAAGGGGAAAGGGTGCTGGCCTGTGGCGCCCGGCACTCGGCTCCTCCTCACACTGCCTCAGGTGCCCTGCTCCTCAGGACGCAGTGCGCCCTCCTCCTGCCTCGCGGCCCCCAGCAGGTGCCCTGCCCTGCATTTTGTCCCCTTCGATTCCTCCTCCACACTGTCTCTGATCACGTGCCTGAACACAGCCTTTCACGGTGACACCTTCTCAAACTACGAGGGCATTGTTCTGCGCACTCCACACATCCACCAGTGCCACTCGGAAGCCAGGTTCCGACCTCTTTGCATCCCGTAGTTTCCCAAGAACCGCTGTCTGGAAAGGTACAGGCTCCTTCCTTTGTCCTTCTCTGAGATTTGACAGTGACACCCTAGAGCGGTCGTTTCTTGTCACTCACTTACCGGGCTCTGCGTGCCCTTCAGTCTGAATGCTCGCTGCTCAGTGTCGGGGTCTTTCCTCGGTGGTCCCCGACAGTAGTCCACCTGTTTTTTCTACTTACTTTGAAGCTCCTGTTAGGTGGTTGTTGAGCCTCATGAATTAATCGCCTACTTGCCATTATCTTCAGGGCTCGGTTTATTGTCCGTTTCCTAGGTTACTTCAGGAAGAATATCTGTTATTTTATTATCTCATTCTCTTGTCCGTTTGTTTTCTGCTGTGGTATTTTTATATGCAATGTCTTGTTTCTTGAGAGCACCATAGTTTTCCTTACCTCTCTGAGGTACTAATAGTAGTCTGGGGCTTTTCTCCAGGTGTTTCTGACTCTGGGTTGCAGGTGGAGGCCCTGGCCCCTCTGTGTGCCATGACCTGGGCTGGGCAGAGGCTGTAATGACCACCTGAAGCATGTGCTCCTTCTGAGGGCCCTGGTGACACAAGGACCAGATCACAAGCACAGCGAGGACTCTGCGAGGCCACATCCATTAGAGTCCATATGTTCTGGGAAGAGAGGTGGACAGGCAGGCAGATGCCTGCCCCAGGCCCAGAGCTCCTGAACGGTGCTGACACACGCATGCATGTCTGCCCCATCCCCACACGTCCACCAAGGCATCTATACTCACAAGCCGTTAGCTCTAAGGCTTAAACATGTGTTACTTGGCAGGGTTGGGCCCTAGGTGTGGCTTCAGTGGTTTGTAAAAGGACCAGAGAGAGCAGCAGCCTCTGTGCTTTCATTTTCGGGGTGGCAGTGGCGAGTTCCGGTCCTTACTGGTGGGACAGTGTCACAGCAGGGCTGGGGAGGGTCCCATCCTGCTGTTCCCCAAGTGTTCCATGGTTCGTGTGCATCTGGGAGATGACCTCGCTCCAGAGAGATTCAAGTCCTCTGCCACAGGCCCGTGCTCACTGAATTTACCCAAGAATCCTTTTCCTGACTCAGGCGGGGCCACTTTCCTCTGACGGGAGCCAAGCAACACACTCACGTATGGGAAGAAACCTTACCAGGGCCTCACTGGGGCACCGCGGAGGTCTCGTGGGGAGCTCGGCTCGCTGGTGAAACCTGCCTCACAGTCTCCTCCCCTGCACAGATATCTGCTCACTTTGCAGCTGCGCACACGCGGGCACACGGCTTCACCCTGCAGCTGGGCGAGGGACGAAGGGCAAGGGGCAAGGGGCGAGGGGTGTCCCAAGGCCCGGTCTTGGTGCCTCTCCAGGAAACAGTGTGTGCGGTCCTGCATGTTTATTCTGTGATCTGATGATTGACACAGTCCCTCCTGTCAGCAAGGTGTTCAGGATTCTGCCTTGGAAGTGTGCAACTTAGAGGATCACCTCAGCACTTCCCAGTGAAGGGAGAGAGGGTGTGTATGTGATGGGGTTCAGGCTTCGATTTGTTGGAGTGACACTCCAGATGCACACATGCACACCCATGCACAGGCACACACATGCACATGCATGCACAAGTATGCACATGCACACACACACACACACACATGCATGCGCACGCACATGCACACACATGCACTCAGACCTCCGCTGTGAGGCAAAGGAACATACCAGGGTTTATGAGTGCTGGGATTTAATTCTAGCAAACCTCATCTTCTGGCATCTGCCAGTGTCTTCTCTGGAATTTATTGCGTGCCCACAGTGACTCTCCCAGCAGCCCGTCTCCCTGCTTTCCACAGCACTGGCTTAGTATCAGCCCCTGTAACCTCGCACCTGGATTATAAACACAGCTGGGTCCCTGTCTCTGGGCTGCAGTCATTCCTGGCTCCAACCTCTGCCATCGCCCCTTTTGCACCTCTGCTAAGAAGCTCAGTTACCTTCTCCCCGAGGACACTGGGTGCGGGTCCTTTTGTCAGGTCCATGGCGTGGGGTGACCTGGGTGACGGAGGGTGAGACGGAGCTCAAAAAGCTGTGTCTCATATGAGTGTTTTCATATTGCACTAGTACATCCTGAAAACAGCTTCAAGATGGCCAGCCGTTCACTGACAATGTTCTGGGAGCCCAAAGTTGCCCCCCAAACTCCCTAATAGGCAGGGGGGCCTTGTAATATTGGTCCTGATTGAAAGCCAGGAGAGAGGCTGAACTTCCCTTCTCCCAGGGTTCTGTTTCTTGACTTGCGTGTTTCCTGCCTGGGATATTTGTGGCAAATGTTCCCTGTGATGTGTGTGTCTCTGTGTGTGAATGCATGTTCACAGGGTATGCTCAAGATAAACAGGCAGCGTCTAAATTTTAAAAATATTGTAATGAAAGGCGCATTGCCTACCCCGCCAAACACCCTGGCTCCCTTGAACACCCCGTCCGGTCCTTCTCGCCATTTTCTGAAGCAGCTCTGGATCCTTTCTGGGGAGCGTCTTTACGAGGTATGATCCAGAAGACAGGAGCCCTGTTGCCCAGGGCAGACTGGTGAAAGGCATTGTGGTGCCTCTTCATCCGCCTTAGTCCCCAGACCCCACTCTGTGTGGCTTCTGACTCTTCCAAAAATGGCCATGGAAGACAAATGGCTTGAAACAACCCAAGACATGGAGGCAGCACCGAGCACAAGGGCAGACACCCAAGGAGGAGGACGCCGGGACACCTCAGAGGTGGCGGGGATGATGGATAAGTGTATCTGAAGTGAGGGCAGGGACTTTGAGGGAGTTAGTGGCAATGTGTCTTTTACTGTAATATATTTTAGAAATTTAAACACTCACTGTAGGCGTTGACCGGCCCCATAGCCTCTGACACTGATCTTCCGTTCCATCTCTCTTCCTGAAACAACCACTTGGAACTGTTTCTGTTTTGTTGTCTTGCTTGAGACTCCCTTACCAAGGGCGCTGTGAATCCCGTCCAAGTTAGCACTCACATGTCTGGTCTGCTCGCAGCCTGCTGGACCCTGCATGCATTTAGAAAACGGAATTGCTTTGTCTCTTTGCCATCCCAGCGGAGCAATGGGAGGGGAGGGGAGGAGAGGGCAGAAGACAGGGCTGAGGGTGGCGCCCAGGAGGGAGCCCTGGCTACAGGCCGAGCCCTGACCTGGGTTTGCGCCCCACATTTTGATGCGTCTGTTTCTTTGCTGGTGTGAACACCATTCACATCCCTTTCATGGAGTTCTCTGTTCTTCATGATAATTTTTTGTAAGTATGAGAAATATCTTTAAAGAGAGCAGAGGTCTTCAGCTTGGGTGGAAGCTGAGCGCATGGCATGATGTGCACAGTGGGAGTGGCGGTCTGTTTCATGCATTCCTGCAGAGTCTCTGCTGTTTTGCTTCTTGGTCTGAAAAATGAAAATTGCAAATGTCACCCGGCCCTGTCGGCATGACAACATCTAATTAACGAATTGCTCAAAGAGGGAACAGAATGTATGAGGTGCTGAACAATACTGTGCACGTGGAGGTTAAATTTGGCCTCGTGATTTATTAGACAAGCCTAACAAGTGATATCATCACCTCGAGGGAGCAGAGTGGGACTGGTCTGTGAGACCGGGTGAACTCGAGCCTCGAGTGTGGACATCTGCCATTTTAACTGTGATGACTCCCCCTGTAAGGTGATGTTTCTGAGGCCTGCAGCTCCCTCACAAGTCACTGAAGCTGCTGCACTATGGAGATGACAGGACGGGAAGAAACAGTTGTCGCTGGGTGCAGGTTAACAGAGCCACAGTTTGGAGAACTGATTGGGTGTGTGGGTGTGGCCCATGTGTACTGTCCCCGCTGTCACTGCCCTGGACATGTCCTCATTTCCCGTGTTTAAAGGCAGCCTTTCCCATGGCAGCCCCAGTAAAGAAGAGGCCAAGCCTAGAAGTTTCAAATTCAAGAAATATGGCTCTTCTCACACATAATCTGCAGTCCTCAAGCTACAAAGCCTTGACTTTGGGACATCGATTTCCAGTTATCTCAAAGGGCTATTGTAATGTCCAGTGGACAAAGCATGTTTGGAAATAATCAATCTCCCAATTTTTCAAAGGAAATAAGCCTTGTGGAATTTTTCTTTTGTTTTGGTTGCATCTGTTTATTTGTTTTTCTGTGTCAGGAATATGCGAAGCACAGCCAGATAAAATGCCGCAGGATTCACAGTAGTGGGGAGCAGAGGACAGACTGAGCTCTGCAGCCGCTCAGCCTGGTGTGTGGCAGCGGGAGGCGGGATGCACCAGGCTGGAGTTTGTCCCGCAGGCCGCAGTCCTGCCTCAGTCTTCCTCTCCATTCAGCCTGTCTGTCTGTCTCAGAATCCCCAGGCCTCCTCTGGCCCTGTTGCTTTGAAGCCTTAGGGTGACACAGCCTGACACACACCAGCACTTGATATTCAGTAGTGTTGATCTTGTGAGACTGTTAGGGTCCCACAGAACAGCCTGGGAGCCTGAAACACACTGACCGGCAACTGGAAGGTACTGGGCCAGTGACTGCGTCTTCCCCACTGTCTTGGAGGTAGCATATTAAACGGCCTCCTGGCTGAGGACGTAGTTACAGTACTGCGATGCTACTATTTAAAACGGAAAACTCTTGTCTATGGAGATAATGAGGCACATGGACACATCTCATTAACCCCCCCTTTTTTTTTTTTTGGATACCAGAAATCAAACTCAGGACCCTGGGCTTGCCAGGCAGGAGCTGTGCAGCTGAGCTGTGTCCCCAGGCTCATCTTATTAGTCCTCATACAGGTCTGCTTGGCCAGAGCTGAGTCCTCTCACGGGAGGTCAGAACAGGTCAGAAATCAATTTTTCTGGAATTAGGGACGCTGTAGTGTGTATTAGGATGCTATTGGGCGTTGAGATAGCAATCAGACTTAGATTGGATTGCGCTTGAGGTCAGAAAGTTAAGACTCTGCAAGTTATTTTCAATGCAAATAATAAATTAACTACAGCAAATGACTAATAATTTTTTTACATAATTCAAAGGAGCCAGTCTGTGGCTGAAAAAGTTGTGGAGAATCCTAACATAACATGGAAAATTTACTTAGATCTGAAGTGCGGTCCTGCCCTGGTCTCAGGGACTCCTCAAAGCGATTCTCCAAATTATAGGTTCATGGTCTTACGGAGATGACCTCGGCTTTCCAGTTACGCAGGGCAAGGAGAGAATCGCAGCTTCCACACTTACTAGCTGTGTGATCTGGCACAGATTAGTTAAATTTCCTGAACTTTGCTGATTTCCATACTTACATTAATATAGAGATACCAAGCATAGTCATTACAGAACTCGGCTGATGATAATATGCTCAGCTATAAATAATTATTGTGATTGTCTTTGACATAAACTGAGGAAGGATCAATGACAGGACAGGTCTAAGAGTTGAGGTGACTTCACCATGATTCCCAAGGCTTCAGAGTCAGGACCAGGGGCCGCCCAAGTGCAGCTGGCACAAGCAGGCGGGCCCAGCCACCTTCGATGGCCACGCGGACCACAATAGAACCGACTTACCATAAATACACTGTCTCATTGCGATGCTGGAATTGTAACTTGTTTAATTTTTATTTTGTTGCAAAATATTACTTGGACTCCTCAGAAGCAACACAGCGTTTCAGTATCAGATTATTAAGGAATGACTGACAACGCCTGTTGTGAAATCATTCGTGTTAAAGCGGAGCCCACTGCACAGTGCTGAGGACCAGAGCGACATCACACTGCTGGAGTAGAAAGTGGTCAGATGTCCTAGGATTGGCCATCGAGTCATCTGAAAATAGTGACCATCACGTGACAGTCATTTTTTTCTTACATAAGAGTTGATGCTACTCAAACATTCCTTGAGACCCTTAGGAATGCAGAGAAGATGGTAAGTATCTGAGCTTATTGTCTCATTCCCAAAGGGAAGAGGCTTCACACACTCACGGACACATCCGGGAAGGGAAGGTGCACCGTCTCCACCACGAAGCCATTGGCGAGGTCCGTGAATGCTTCAGGCTCCCATCCCAGGGTACCCCAATTCCAAGCGGTCCCGTCTCGTCCTTTCGTTGATATGAAAACATTCTGCCATGCCTGGCTGAGAAGTGTTAGTGGGTGGGGACCTTTCTTTGATGTTTGCTTTTTTTCTCCAAAGGGAGCATTCTGTGAACAAAAGAATGCTGAGTTTCTTCATTGCTTCCATGTTCATATAAAAATTACTGCCAGGCGCCTGCTCTGTAGAGATGTACACGTCCAAGGCACTGCAGTAAAAAGCCTCAGCTGGTGGCAATGGCGATTCCTGGGTGAGCACACCACCTTCCTTGCAGCTGGTCCTTCAAGTGCCCTGTCACCAAACCCAGACTTGGGCAGAGGTGGGACGATTCGGATCTGCTGGGATCCAAAGGGCACATGTCATATCCCTGTGATGTGTGCATGTACATGTAACCCAGGGCCAGCTGAAAATGGAAAAATTCAGCCAAATTGCCAAAAACAGTTAAGCAGTTGCATTTTAAATTCAGGAAATAAACAGCCTATGTCTAGCATTGGGCAGGGTAGTGGGAAAATGTAGATGTTTTATGCTGGCTTTAAACACAGACTCTGATCAGCAGAGACAACTCTGGGACTGAAATCTGATCAGCAGAAACACATTAGCTCTTAGTTTTAAAACATATAATTGGACGTTTGAAAGTAATACAGACAGCGCTTCCTTTCTACCCCTTGTACAAAAGTTACTAACTAGTACACAGCTACAGGGTCCGTATCAGGCTCACAACTGAGGCAGGGTTAGTGCCACGCCATGAATGTAAGTATTTCCTCACACAGCAGGTTGGAGTAGTCTGCTGGGGTGTAAGCTCTGGGATTCGGCGCGCTGTATCCTGTTGTCTGGCTACGGTCTGCCCCTGTATGGAAGCCAGCAATCTCGTAATGCCACAAGGGAAATGGTTAACAAGGAATGGATGGATTAGTGCAGTTCAGCCTCACGCTGGGGGAAAAAGTCAAGGGTTAGCACTACGG